GGTGAGGGGTGTGGGGATGGGACACAGCATCTTGGTTTAAGGGAGGCAGTGGAAGGATGAAGCAAGCTAGGATTCTTTATGCAACCACCTTTCCCACTGGCTTACAGGCTTTCCAGCTCCCAGGGCACCCAGCCAGCCTGGGCCACGGAGTAGCTAGCACATTGGCTATTCTGAACAGACATATATTTCTTGCAGCTCTGGAAGCTGGGAAGTCCAAGATCAAGGTGTCAGCAGATTCAGTTTTGCTCAGGGCCCTTTGCCTGGTTTGCAGATGCACCATCTAGCTGTGTGCTTACAAGACTTCTTTACTGTGTGGGCACAGAGAGTGTGCCCTGTATTATTCTTTATGTTACGAAAGAATTACTATTAATAATTCAAACTGCAACTCTGATTGGCTAGAATTCAAAAAGGGCCTTTCCAGTTATTGGAGAAAGTTACTTTAGAATTGGCTTTGGTTCTTTATAATCACATGCATACCCTGGGCTTTATAGTTGAGATTATAGCATTATCAGTCTTACCTGAATGATAAATATCTTGGGTTTTCCAACCAGGCTCTGACACTTGTCTCCTTTGAACAAGCCGGTCAGTGTCTGAATTTCAATTTTGGCGTCGTATGCGTAAATGTGATTGCCTTCACCATGACTCAGGAAGACACACAAAAAGCAATCGGCATCAACATGGCTAGAGATTGACGCTAGAAAGGCCCCCAAAAGTTCACACAAAAATGAAAATAAGATGCTTATTATCTACATATAACAATTCAGTTTACTAATACTAGAATAAAGTTATATACATATGATTAAGAGAGGGAGAAAATTTGTTATAGTACATGTAAAATGCCTGTAATGAAACAACTTATTTAAGTCTTTAATCAAACAATTTATCCCATATTGTATCTGATTAAAAGTCAAAATTATTGAAGTTCAAAGTAACATAATTTGAACAAATTTCATTAATTTTTCTAACACACAGAATAGTGACATGTAAAATACAAAGGGATTATTATGGGAAATTGCCTACAAGATCCCATCATTTGGCAGGAAAAGTTCTCTGCATTAGCAGACTGGAGAGGCCCAGAACCTACTACTTAACAACTCCCCACGTGTCGCTGTTCCTCTAATGAGTACAGCGCCTTCAATGTGTTTACAGCACTTGAAGCTTTCAGGAGTATTAAGACATAAGATAGATGTCTCCAAAGCTTATGAGCAAGCCAAGTAGAAAACCTGGTAAGCAGCGAGTTAAAATTAAAATGATTTACAGATTAAAGAAGAGCTCTAGTATAGAGGTTTCTCAAAAATTCAAAAAAAAACAAACCAAAAACAACTACCATATAATCCAGCAAGTCCATGTCTGAGTATTTATCCAAAGAAAATAAAAACACAAACTTGAAAAGATTTATGTACCCCCATGTTCATACAGCATTATTTACAACAGCCTAGATATGTAAACAACCTAAATGTCCATCAATGGATGAATAGCTAAAGAAAATGTGATACACACACACACACAAAATGGCACACACGGAATGGTACTCAACCATAAAAAAGAATGAAATCCTGCCATTTGCGACAACATGGATGGGCCTCATTCAGGGAATTATGCTAAATGAAATAAGTCAGAGAAAGATAAATACTGTTTGATCTCATTTAAATGTGGAATCTAAAAAACTAACCAACCAACCAAACAAACAAAAAACCCAAGTTCATAGACACAGAACAGACTGATGGTTGCCAGAGGGGAGAGGAGGGTGGGCAAAATGGGTGAAGGGGGTCAAAGGTACAAACTTCCAGTTGTAAAATAAGTCATGGGGATGTGTGTACAGCATGGGAACAATAGTTAATAATACTATATTGCATATTTGAAAGTTGCTAAGAAAGTAAATCTTTTAGGATTAATTTTTTAAGGAAAAATTCCTTGTCACAAGAAAAAAACTTTTTGTAATTGTATGGTGAAGGATGGTAGCTAGACTTATTGTGATCATTTTGCAATGTACACAAATATCGAATCAAGTATATCTGAAACTAATGTTATATATATCAATCATACCTAAAAAAAAAAAAAAAAGAGCTCTGAAGGAAGTTTAAGTTATATACATATTTTAATAGTCCATTGGTAAATGACGAGAATCCATGGATGGCATGCAGTGATTATTGTGATAAACACAGGTTGTTAAAATAACTACTGCATAAATGATATAGAAATTTAGATAACGTATATATATCTTGAAGCCAGTAAAAAACGTGGGTATGGAAGGAGTCAATTAAAATATGACTCCAGCATCTGCAGTGTTTGCATTTTAGACTTTTAATTGTAAATGAAAAGGTCATTTCATCCATTTCTAGAGTAATAGACTAACTAGTGGTATCTTCAACATAAACTTGAGGCATAATACTTGGCAAGGGTCTCTTAAACATGGTGGGTAACATGTAAGCAGAGAGGCACAACCAAAACCTGTAACCCATGCCAAGTTAACTGATAAAGACTTTTTACAACACAGTTAATTATTTGGACTTGTCTTTACAGGTAGGATAATAAAAGTACTCAGTCCCATCAGAAGAACAGGAAAACTACTTACCCTCATGAATTCTGAGCAGTAATTCTTCTGCTTTAAGATCATTAAAGCATTTCACTTCAAATCCTAGATCTAAAAACCTGGTGATAGATTAATTGAATATTAGCTTATGA